GCGACGGGGCCCTGGCGCCTCCCGCCCGCATTCCCGGGCGCTGCTGCTCGGGATAGAGCCCAGAGCAGGCAGCAGAATTCCTGCCCGCCCCTCCTGGGGCCCCAGAGCACTGCCCAGCTCCGGTGCCATGGGTCTGCTCTGCACGAGGGCCCCTCGCCGGCCGCCAGGGAGCCGGGCTCCCCGCGCCATGGGCGGCTGCGGACGGACCTGGTCATCCCCTCTGCGAAGGGGCCGCGCGGCGCTGTCCAGGAGCGCGAGCAGCAGCCCTGCGTCCCGCTCGCCAGGGAAGCTGCGATCCCCCTCCTGAATGGAGGGGCTCCCTTGTGCACGTGCGAGTTTAGGACACCCGAGCGCGCCGGGAAACGAGAGGGCCCTGCGCTGCTTGCAGGGGAGGCATTTGCTGCTGCCTGTAAACCTCATTTCCAACTAATTGATTAAAATCGGCCTCCCTTCCTGTTACCCTAAGCAACCCCATCGATGTGCTCAGAGTGACCTCATTCCTTACAGCTGCTGTGAACCAGCCTATTTCCAGTGCTGCTTCTTTCCGCCTTCACCTCAGTTGCTGCTCTCTGCTCCTATTAGCCCATCCCAAAGCACCCCGGGGCCTTGCAGCCCTGCTGAGCAGAACCCGCTGCCAGGGCACACTCAGGCTAAGCTGGGCTCAGAGCGCCCGCCTAACAGGGCTGCATCAGGCGGCAGCGCCCCTGGAAGCAGCTGGGCCAGAGGGAGCTTCCAAGGGGGCCAGGCAGTTTCCAAGAGCGCGGCAGGGAACGTGCAGCTGCCTTGGAGCAGATGGGCTGCAGGGCCGGCTCTGCTGCACGCCCATGGGCAGCGCCGCCACATCCCAAAAGCTCTGGTCCCCAGCAGACACTAACGGGATAGTGCTCCGTGCTCTGCTCACCTCATAGGGAAGAGGCAGGCGCCCCTCGTATCAGCTCTGGTGGCACAGGGCACTTCCCCAGGAAAACAAGGCTCCATTGGCAGCACCGCAGGGAACAGAGCACACTGTGGGGCTGCTGCATGGAGCAGGGCTGGGACCTTCCCCCTGTGCGGATGGGGCCATGGAGCTCATCCGCACTGCACCGGGCACCACTAGCCAACACGAGAGTGAACTGTGGCATTCAGGCCAGGCCGGGCCTCGCTTTGAGGGCGGCAGGTTCGGAAGCAGCCCCTGGTCTTCCCGGGCCGCAGCAGTGACAGTGCTCACAGGCGCTGCCTCCCGGCTCCACGCTGCTCCGGAGCACTTGCTGCATACCCGCCACTCTCAAGCTACTGAAGCGCAGCGCACAGCGTGGTAGTGCAGGAGATCAGGCCAGGAGCCAGCAGCTCCGGAACTACAGATTCTGCTTAAGAAATGAAGGAAATCTTCCTTGCATGCAACCCATGTGCCCTTGGCAGAGCGAGGGCTCGCAGAGCCGTGGCTGTGCAGGTCTGTAAGTGGCAGCGTGTGCTGGGCAGCGCTGCTGCTGCTCCCGGCTGGCACCAGGGCCAGGGTGTCCCCAGCACCGTGAGGGATGCAGGTGCCGAGCGCAGGGCGGCATCCTCAGGGCTCGTGGAGCCGTGCACGGAGCGAGCGCCGCGGGGCTGCCTCCCCACGTGAGCGACTGCCCCTGCTCGGCCCTTCCCGAGCTCCGCCTGCCGCTTCCCTGCCCTCTGGAGTGTGGCCTGTGGCCGGGCAGGCCCGGAGCGTTAGCCGGCAGCTGCCCTCCCTCCTGCCGCCCTCCCCTCCCGAGTCACATCCAACTGTGCACGGCGGCTCCTGCCTCTCCTCCCGGCAGCCCGGGGGTGCTGCCCCCCCGGCAGCACCGGACGGACCTGCTGGCCTCGCTCACCAGCCGTGGGACGGCGGCTTCCGGACCTCATAGCAGGGCGGTGAGGCACCGCTTGGCCTCCGAGAGCTGCCCAGCTCCTCATTAGACTTAGTCGCTTGCAGCTGCGAGTGCGTGACCCAGCGGCCTGGGAGGTAGCCCAGGTGCCCACACTCCTGTCCTCGTCCCAGCCTCCCTCGTCTCGTCCTCCTGCCTTTCCACAGGACCCTTCTGCAGCAATTTGCTGCACAGCCCAGCTACGAGGAGCCCCACGCAGGCCCATTCATCCTGTGCCACCAGTATTGACTCCTCTCCTTCCTGCAGCATTAGAGAACATTTATCATCTCCAAAATGACTAACTTCACCTCTCCTGGGAAAGGGAAGGTTCGCTTCAGTACCGATATTTCCTATACCCAGCCCACAAACCTGCCTCGAATCACACATGATGCTCTGGGAAGAACCCGGGGGCTTCGGTTTCTTGAAGCACCTCAAGCCCCCAAACAGCCGTATCGGAATGAGAGACGAGCGCAGCCTTGGCAGCTCAGAGAGCAACAAGCGAGGCCTCTCCTCCTGTCCTACAGAGCACAGCACAGTCAGGAACAACAGCTGCCTGTTTGCCGAGGCTTTAGGAGCTTTTGGGAAGTGTTTTCAAGCCTTTCTAAAGAGATTCAGAGTGAGGAATGCTTTTCTTGGGAAATTTAAGCCTTTATTAACATAACCATTTCTGGGAACCGAAGCTGAGGGAACAAAACCAGCTATCACAAGATGTGAAACGGAGCAGTCGTCCGCATCGCCAGCAGCAGCCTTTCCGAGGGACTAGAGCACCCGACACAAACCACTGGATAAGGGTCAACTTCTGATTTGGAAAATGCCTTGCTTGGAGAGGGGCAGCTCTCCAAACAAGCTTGGCTTACAGAGATGGTGCAGGATGCACGAGGCCGCAGGACTTACCCGAGCGGAGCTGCAAGGATTGCTCAGTGGCCGTGGAGCTCCGGCCCCTCGGGGCAGCGAGGCAGGGCCCTGCCACGGGGGGCTGCTGGAGAGGTGCCCCTGCTTCATCCCACACCTCCATCCAGCAGCTGCATTGAAGGAACCTGCAGGATTTGAAGACCCGAGTCATCTTCAAGCTGTAATTAGCTGCCCACTTCCCCCACCCTAATTATGCAGATGAGGGAGATGGCAGAACCCATCAACCTCCGTAGGAAGGAAGGGACTGCACCAGCCCTTGCTGCGGTGTCACTGGGCCAGGGTCCCTCTGTCCTGGCCACCCAAGGGAGCTGCAGGGCCTGGGAAGGTGGTGGCGCAGCAGGATGAGCATTCAGGGAGCAGCTCCATGGATGGGGAAGACAAGGGCAGGGTCCAGAAAGGGGCTGGCTCTGGGTCAGGGCTGTTGGGAGCCCAATTAACCAATTAAGTGGAGTTAAATCAGGTAACAAGTGTGTGATGGCAGAGACACCTGGGTGCTAGCAGCTGGTCTGGCCCAAACACCTAACTGTGTCCTGAGGTTGTTCTCCCATTGGCGGGAAACAGGACCCAGATGTTGTGTCCTTTAGAGGCAGGGTGTGGCTGGTTGTTGAGAAGTGCCCCTGTCCGGGCGAGCTCTCGTGGTGGCGGGAGCTGCATCCGCGTGCTTTGGTGGGGGACCCTGCAGCAAGCAGGCGCTGGGGGGCACTGGGGCCCTGTTCCCGGTGCCTGGGGCCCGCAGTCCTGTCCGTGCCGCCAGGGCTGGGGCGCTGGCCTGAGGCGCGCGGGAGAACCCGCCGGTGCACGGGGCTGCACGCGGGCCCCGCTCGCGAGCGCGGCCGGCCAGGCTGCTGCCCCGCGCTGCCGCTGCCGCTCGTGGGCGCCGCAGGTGGCCCAGCCCGGGGCCGGCTCCCTGCCTGGCTCCTCGCATCCTCTCGTGGCGGCCGCGCCAGGCGCAGCCCGTGCGGCCGGGCCGCTGCCTGCAGCGCCGCTGCGCGTGGGCACGAGCTGCGGGCCGGGAAGGGCCGCGGCACCGGCCCGACACCGGCCCGGACAGCTCTGCGCGAGGCGGCCGCTCGCTCCGGCTGCGCTCAGCTGCCTCTTACATAACGAAACCCTCTCCAAACATTAACTCTTCCCGGCCGAGAGCTGCTCCAGTGCAATGCGAGGCAGGGCCGCCTGGCACAGGCGACTCGGAGCCGCTCCAGCCCGCTGGACAGCGGGGACGTGGAGGTGGTTCCCAGCTGGACCCTGTGCTGCCCAGTCCCCCCGCTGCTGCCCACGGCCATCGGCACCGGGACCAATGTGTCCGATTCGGTGCTACTGCTTCCTGCAGCGCCTCTGTGGAAGAGGCTGCAGAGCCGGCCTGGCCTGCCCCATGCAAATGTTGCTGCCTGCACCAGGAACCGCCGTATGGAAAGCAGCAGAGCTCTTCCCAAGCAGCCCCAGAGCAGGAATGCTGCAAAGCTGCCGTGGAGCAGCCGGGCCCAGGCGCCCGCTGTGCATGGGGCCGGGATCCGCCGCCCCCTCGGAGCCGAGATCCGGCTGTGCGGACGTGGTGCCGGCACCGGGGCCGCTGGCAGAGCCGCCTGCGCAGGGCTGACAGGGAGGCTCCTCGCCGGCGCTCCACTCATTTCTAGGAACAGCAAATTCTCGTGCCTTGAAAGCACCCTGCTCTGCGCTGTGAGCTCATGGGCTTCGCTCTGCGTCCCGGGCAGCAGCAGAGCCACCGAAAGGCAGCTGGCATGCAGGAAGCAGCGAGGTAATTTGCTGGCTAATTTCCCATAATGAAAGCTGAGCTACGACTAAGGAACTGAGCAAACACAGGCCTCGGATTCAGCGCTTCCTAGAAGAAACCCTTGGGCTGCCGGGCCAGGTCCTTCCTGCCGCCCCCGCAGCCGGCTGTGCTCTGGCCTCAGGATTCCCGGCCATCCTAAGGCAGGTGCCGAGGTAACAGTCCTGTTGGGCTGTGTTGTTCTGCCTCCAGCCGCCTTGTCTGAGCTCCTCCTCGGCCATGCTGCCTCCGAGGGGGCAGCTTTGCCATTGCCATCACCATCACCAGACCGTGCAGGGGAGGCCGAGGTGCTTCCCAACCCTCCGGTGTCCTCCTGCGCCCACTGCCCGCAGGGAGACAGGCAGAGCGTGTCCTAACCCCGTGTGCTGCCCGGCTCCAGCGCAACCTCCTCCAACCAGGGCTTTGCTCTCCTTGCAGGTCGGCGCGGGACGCGCTGTGTGAGGCAGCCCGGCTGCAGCGGGACGCGGCGCCGCGAGCGTGGGAGCAGCGCACGTCCTTCCTCAGCGTGAGTGTCCCGCTCTTCGCCTTGCAGTAGCAGCTGCTTGAACAGGGATTTCCCCTGCTCAACCAAAGCATTTTATTCCTTTGAAAACACATTGCTCCCTTGTGACCACAGCTGGGTGACTGCAGAGGAGGCACCCAGAGCTCTCAGCTACAACGGATGTTTTTGTGGCAGGGGCAAACACTTGCAGTGCTGGCCCATGGTGAAGGAGCGGCTCAGGGGGCTGCCGGGAGGGAACAAGCCACAGAGGAGCCCGTGTTATGCCCGTTTAGTTACCACGCTGCCAACATGTGCCAGAATCCTGCTGGATTCTGCATCACCAGCTGTTGCTGAGACCTGCCAGCCCTTCCCAGAGCATGGCTGGGCTGTGGGAGCCAGAGCCAGGGCATTCCAGCCATCTCAGAGCCAGGTGCAGAGGGCTCGGAATTACCTGGGACACGGAGCAGCAGCTCCCATGGGATACGGAGCAGCAGCTCCCACCTCGGCACGCAGGAGCCTCCCCCAGGGCCCTCTGCAGCTGGAGAAGGCCAGGGTGAAGGTGACTTGTGAACTGCGGACACTCCTGCACTTGTCCCTTTGCTGGTGGCTTCTCCACTGGCTTTGGAGATGGTCTAGAGGAATGGGGAAGGTAAAACCAAGTGTTAATTCTTCTTTTGCCATCTTTTCTTTTTTTACACCCTGCTATTGAAATAGCAGGAGTTCCTAGCTCTTGTCCTTGCTGGGGTCTGTGGTGGAGACAGCCAGGGCTGGGTGGCTCAAACAGGAGCCCTTTACGGAGTCTCCTGTCTCCAAAACGTTAGTCAGTCAGTAGAGCAGCAGGAAGGGAGCTTCCCTTATTCCAGCCGCTGCTTTGGTTTCATCTCAGCTTCTGACATAACCAGGTCACTCTTTCCACAGTTTCCTGGGCTAGATGAGGGCTGATTACTGATCTAGATGGACATGACTCACTGTCTTTTCTAATGAACAGCCTTCCTATGTTTACGTGCCTTGGCGTGCATGTAATAAGGCAGTGGGATAGCGCTGGGGAGAGGGCAGGAAAGATGAATTGCTGGCATTTGTGTCCAACCCGAGATGTATCTCACCGTCCCCTTGGACTCCAGCAGTTGTGAAATTGCCTCTTTTGAAAACAAATTCAACAAACAACAACTCCTCGACACACTAACAGAGGAGACACGCTGCCCAGGCCCACAGATGGGCCAAGCCCTGCACGAGTAATTGGTGCTAATAACGCTGGGAGAGCTTTTGTTGGGATGTGGCCACAAGTATTTAAGGAACCCCGAGCAGGGCCTTGCCCTGCAGGGCTTTGCAGCAGGGGCTGGCCTGGCCGCCGCGGGTGAGGCGGGTTCTCCTCCTCGTTCCCGCAGGCGAGGTGTCCTGGACAGCCGCCCCGCTCACGTGGTGCCACTTGTCTTTTGCAGGGCTGAAGCGCAGGAAGCTCTTGCTGTTCCAGCACCGCCAGGCCGGACAATCCTTCCCTTGGCTGCAGGTCACGTTGGATCTCTTCCCATAATGGAAGCGTGAGTGCCAGGATCCTCCATGACCTCCAGAAGCCACAACTCCTTACCGAGAACTCTGATGGCTCCGCGAATGCTCTCCGAAAGCGCCCTTGGGGGCATTGCCCAAATCACCCCCTCGCTCTACCTGAGCAGGGGCAGCGTCGCCTCCAACCGGCACCTGCTGCTCTCCCGGGGAATCACCTGCATCATCAACGCGACCATCGAGATCCCCAACTTCAACTGGCCCCAGTTCGAATACGTGAAAGTGCCTTTGGCTGACATGCCCAACGCCCCCATCTCCCTGTACTTCGACAGCGTCGCTGACAAGATAAACAGCGTGGCGCGGAAGCACGGGGCCACCCTCGTGCACTGCGCCGCCGGCGTGAGCAGGTCGGCCACCCTCTGCATCGCCTATCTGATGAAGTACCATAAGGTGTCCCTGTTCGAGGCTTACAACTGGGTCAAATCGAGACGTCCCGTTATACGCCCCAACGTGGGCTTCTGGAGGCAACTGATAGACTACGAGAGGAAGCTCTTTGGGAAGACGACGGTTAAAATGGTACAGACACCATATGGCATCATCCCAGACGTTTACGAGAGAGAGAGGAGACCCCTGATGCCTTACTGGGGAATTTAATGTGACTGCAGATGGGAAGCACAACAGAAGGGACTTGCTGTTCCGAGTCTACCAGACTGGAGACATCCCCTTCTCTTTCTACAGCCAACTTTGGTTCTTTACCATACAGCAGAACCTCAACTAATTCTCACCTCACTAACCCGCAAGGCCAACAGTCCCCTTCAAAGCATTTCTCTCTACAGGGACTCCCCCATCCGTATTTCTCTGATTTAGCAGAATAAGGCCTCCTTATAAGTTTATTCCTTTCATAAAACCTCTCTCCCTTTTTTAGTCAGTTTATTAGTGTCCTACAAGAAAAGGCCTGAAAGGCACTTGGCAGAGTTAATGAACAAAGTGACGCTTTGTGATGCGGTCGCCTGGATCTTTCCTTATAGCTTGTTTGCTTCCTCGCGAGGCGCCCTCGTGACGGGGGCCGGCGCGACCACGGTCCCGCTCCCAGCACAGCCTTTGACCAGGAGCCAGGGCAGCAGCCGTGCACAGCTCTGCCGCTCGCGCCGGCCTCTCCTTTAGCAGCTGTAGTTGCTCTCAGTATATAGTGTTTGAGATCCTCAGTCAGCTCTTCATCTGTATTAAAAGTTTAAAAGGAGTGAAGTCAGTCCATGTTGGCCACAAGTGAAATAAAATTTAAAAGAGTTCAAACCAAATAAATACAAGGTCCCTTTTCACTCATTCCATGCCAGGGTGGCAGTCCTGGAACATCCTTACACTTTGGAAAAATATTCATCTTTTCAGTGGGTGGAGAGTAAAGAGAGATTGTGTCCAGGCGTGGCTCAAGAGGGAAGCGAGTGGTGAGGAGCCCTTCCCGGCCCGGCCAGCCAAAGGAATGCTTAGGAAGCGCGGTGTGTAGGGCCACTTCCAAAGGGGCTGAGCTCTGTTTTCTAATACTCAATCAACCAGTAAGCTGGAAGTAGGTAAATCTGCTTGATTACTTCGCTCTAAGTATGGTTGTGACCTGCCTTAGCCCATTTCTAACTCACTTCATTATGTCCTCAAGGTTATGTTGCATTCTAGAATTATTTGACGCAAAATGGCCATCTATTAGACCTCCAGGACAAAGATGGCTCGATGGAGAAGGCTTTGCCTTGTTTTGCTCATGAGGAGAAGGATTCCAGCTTGGGAAGTGGCAGAAGTGCTCCGGTGGTGCATTCAGCAGCTGGATCCGTGTCCTTCACTCCCTCGTGGATGGGAGGATCTTGGTTTCCTTAAGGGATATGGCTGGACCACCAGGAAGACAAAGCAAGTTCAGTTCCCCGAGGAGACTTTTCTGCCCTTTGCTGCATTCCGGAGGAGGAGCACAGATTGCTGGATGCTGATAGCTATCTGATTTAACTGAGATTCTATACTTGTAAAAAAAAAAAAAAAAAAATCAATAAAGATTAAACAACACGTGTTGGCTTCCTATTCAGCGCTGTGCCAACGCATCTGGAATAACAGCGAGCATGGTCTAATTCTGATCAGTAACTTCATGCACATCTCAGATGTAATTTTGAAGAAAAAAGATAGTAGTAACCTGTTCCCGTCATTTGGCCAAGGTTTACCCTGTGTGCAGGTGTCCCACAGCTCTGGATTGTTCTCCCAAGAGCTAGGCCACGAATGTGGCTTTTCCAGAGTTTGTTTCTTCTGGAGTCCGAGCTGAACGGCCAGTATCGTGGTTTGAGGAGTGCTAGAGATCATTAAAGGTTTGAGTCCCGACTCAGCCACAGTGCCAGGCTCGCAGTATAGGCAGGCTTCTGGTTTCCCAGACGGAAAACCACGAGACTGCAATCAATAGAGTCATCCCTGATACAAAACCATACGAGCAGCCTCAGCCGCATTTGGATCATTAGTAAAACCAGACGTGACAGGAGCAAGTTTAGATGAGGATGAATTTGCTACAGACTTGATAAGCTCCGACCCAGACGTTTGTTTTCCTATTTCCTGCAAAGGGTTTGAGCAGGGACTGGGCAAGCGCCACTTGCTTAAGGCTGCGCGCGGGGAGGAGGCGGCTGCTTAGCAGCTTCCCGCTCCTGCCAGGGGCCGGCGAGGCGAGCAAGGGGCTGCTGCCGGAGCGGGCGGACCCTGCCCGAGGGCCGAGGCCGCCGGGCGCAGGCCGGGGCTCTCCATATGGGACTCTTCGAGGCACCAGGGTCACCTGGCGCCTCCGGTTAACCCCCACGCTGCGCACGGGCTTCGGTGCGAAACCGGTGCTGCACATCTCAAACTCACCACAGGAATCCAAAGCAGCCGAGGAACCTGGCCTGTTTCCCCCTGCAAGGCATTCTGCATATAAACTGCAAGTAAAAACCCCTGATATTCCAGCATAAGTTTTTTCTACAGTGATATCAACACACAGATCTCGGTGCCCTTCAAGACCACAATTACTTTTAGCTCCGGCCCGTGCTGACAGGGAAGTCTCTCCCTGCCGTTGCAGGTGATCAAGAACCAGTTTTGCCCACTGGAATTAAAGCAAGTTCTGCCACCAGCCGCAGGCCGCTCCCATTGCACAACCAGGGGCACTTGGTGCTCTGCAGGAGCCGGAGGAGAATAATACTCTTAATTCTCTGCTGCATAAGGGTTACATGTATAATTTAACGACATTTTTAATACAAAAAAAATGGAAGGTAAAAATTCTCTCTCTGGAGGAGGGAACTAATGTTCACAATAGGAAGCATCAACATTGCCTTTTAAACAAAAGGCAGGTTAGACACAGTTGCCAATAAAGCACATTATGAAATAAGGAATTCATTTAAACTACTCATTAGAGATTGCATTATGAAGAAGTGCAATGGCATTAATACTTACAGGTGCTTTCTTTCCAAGAGTTCCTTTTGTGTTCATTCCAAGAAGATCTTTCAGTCTGTGTTCTCCCCTCTCAAAGTCTACTATTTCATGCATCCTTAAGTCTATAAAGGCCAAAGAAAAGATAGCCCCAAACATATTAACTCTCTGCTGGCCACAGTGTCGTTCCAAGCCCCATTAGCACACAGCATTTTTATGATATAGCCACTCCACAATTTGGTCAGAAATGAAACAAGTTCTTTATTAAAAGCAAAGTTTCATGGATCTCAACAAAGGATTTAGAAATCATGGCAAGAACTAAGGGAGTAAACAACGTACTAAAAAGTCAATTATTAGTTTTTCTCACTGGAATTAAAATATCAGGAGCAACTCTTAACACAAACTGAACCAGCTCCAACTACTAACCACAAAAGCACTTCTGTAAGATAAATAACATTCACCTAGAGAGGAGAAAAAGAATCACAACATCAAGGGAAGTTTTCCAAACACTTCTTAAAATTATGACATTTGTATTTTAATATTGACAACTGGAAATAAGGACAGGGCTAGGGAGCAAAAAGATCTTTAAGAAAAAGCAGTTTGTAGAATAGCAGCTTTTACTGAAAAAGCAGATTTTGTTTCAAGTTTAATTACACTGACACGTAATTAGAAAACAGGGTCTTCCTTGGGTTTGCAAGAGCTTCTCCTCCTCAGCGTGAGGCTGAGCTGCACCGTAACTCCATAGTTATATCCCAGTTTTCCCGGAGGAGCTGCTCGAAACAAACCCGGGGAAGAAAAGCTGCTGTTGGAATGAGGATTCGAGTGGAATGTTTGACCCACACGCGAGCAACCGTCTTCATGCTTTGGACCAAACGGGTCCACGACTTGCAAAACAGGCAATTGCAGGCGAGGAGAGCGGGGCCCGGGAGCTTCGTGAGCGCCGCTCCCGCCCGGCAGCGCCCGCTGAAGCGCCCCACAGTGCCACACGAGCCGCAGGATCGCTCCCAACTAAAGCCCTACTTAAAATAAATTAACCGCGCAAATAACCGCTTAAACTCCAAATATACACAAACATAGAGAAAAGTAGTTTTCCATAGGTAACCCCAAGGCAGATCCGGATGACATATATATTAATAAGAAGAACAAACAAACAAACAAAAGCAATCCTCAGGTTCTCACATTCTCCCAGCGCACAAATACATCCCAAAGCAGCGTTACATTTATAAAATGCAAAGCAACCGAAAGAGCAGGCGGAACGCGGGTTAACCCGCCCGCAGACCGGGCCCGGGAACGTGGGTTGCCACAAGGTGCCTAGGAAATCCCGTCACCTTGGATACAGCTTCCAAGGACACGGGGCCGCTGGTCTGCAGCGCAACAGCCCAGATGGCAAATGCAACAGTGAGTCATTCAGACGACACGGGTATGCAAGTGAACTGCTCTCCTGCTGCAGTGCCCTTCTCCGTGTATCCCATGCATTCCATGCATTCCATGCATTCCATGCATCCCGTGCTGTCCAGGGGTTCAGCAAGGGTCTCTGCTCGCTGCCCCGTGCCGCGGAGCTACACGGGCCGCCACACTTCACTAGGCTCTGCTGCAATTAGAATTGTAAATGGCTACTCCTTATTTCCATTTCCATTCCAGCCAAAACACACGCTAGGCTCATCTCAGAGAAGGAACTCACTTGCTTAGCAAATATGTTACAAAACATCACTAAAAAAGATTTTTATGACGATACGGCCAGTGCCGTATTTGAAATATTGGTTGTTTTAAGTATCATATTGCAGCCAGTTTTATGTGTAGCATTTTCTTTCAATTAAAAAAAAAAACAAAAAACCCAAACTATCCTAACCAAGTGTCCAGGAACTGTGGTGGAAACCCATGCTAACAATAAACTACCTTTTCCAGATACGGTATCTTCAGAAGCGATAGAGTTTATGTCAGCAGAATGCTCAAAACTGCTTGAGAAGCCTCCTTGCGAGCAGCAAGACCAGGCGTTTGCGGAGGTTAGGCAAAGCTCACAGCTTTCTGTCACTCAGCAGGCAAAAACTAACCTACTACCTAGGTAGACCTCAAGGATCGGTGGCAATGCTGTCAGTCGTGACACATCCAGCAGCTCCAACCGTGGGGAAAACCAACACGTGCAGCCCAAAGCTACGGTGCAGGCGACCAACTACTCCACAGCTAACAGAGGAAACAGCAATCCAAGAGCGGCTGCCTTTTCCTGAGAATTACTGGGCAACCGAAGGCGGGCACTCGCTGCCACGCTGCTGAAACCCGCCAGGCGATTAGCCTGAGCTCGCGGCTGCAGGCACACGAGGCTTATTTTATTAATGAGCCAATTTCAGGCAGCGTGACGATTTTAATCTGTGTAAATAAGGGCCAGACACCTAGCACTCTTATGAGCCAAAATTCTTTCGTTTCATGTAATTAATAGTTTAATATAACTAACCTTTTTATTATATAAAGGAAGCATCATTTTTCTTTGTAATCTCCTTTTCAGCAAATAACCATTGGTCAAAGTCTGTTACTCACAATGGAGGCAAGAACAGCTGGTATCTTTGCGCAGAAGGAAGCTTTTCTAGGGCTCTGAGAAACTTTAGTAATTCAATGAGTTAAAAAGTAAGTTGCCCTAGGTGCAAATACATCACTCTGTTCACTCCCAGCTGAATAAAACCGCACAGCAGGAAGGCTCTTAACAACACAGAGCTCCCACTGGATTTAAAATTCTGTAGCTAGCACTGCATTGACTGCACTGTCATCTTGATGTTGTATCTGAAGGAAAAAAAAAATAAAGGTGCTTTAGATTTATAGGTGACACTTGGCGATCGCCTCACAAAGTAACCTTGAACTGTCCGGAAAGGGGAACCTACCGCAAGCAGCCAAAGGGCAGCGTAAACCGACTGCATCACGTACTGGCAGTTTTAAGAGTAAAAAAAAAGAAGGAAAAAAACGTTATTACGAATAGCACTAGGCTGCACCAGTCACCCCCAGCAATCCCATCAAGCAAAGCACGTTGACATACAGGACGGATAACAGGTACGGCAGCAAGCGCTCACTAGCAGCGACATCCAGTTTCCAGCAGCAATGCAGCCCCACAGCACCTAAGGGTAAGGGGAAAGGCAGAACAAACCACATCTACAGTTTGCGACACCCCGAGACAGCATTTGTATAATATTTACAACAGAAGAGCAGAGATTGCGAGTTCTAAAACCCAGCTGCCTGTACTGAAGAATTCAGATACAATAGGGAAAATTTCAACAATTTTTCCGAGTTCTGATTCCCCCATATTAACCAGTTATGTGTATGAGTACAGTGTAGTTTTCTATACAGAACAGTAGAAGTATAAATACACAATGACTCCCTGCAGTTCAATTCCTAAGTCAACAAGTCATTTTACCTTGAAAGTTACTGTGGCTTGTGCATTGCAATAGTATAGCAGCAAATATTTAAACAACATTGTCCATATACCAAAAAAAATAACGAGAAGACTTGTTTGCACATACATATTTCAAGTATTTAAGTGGTCATTTCCATGCAAATCTGTCCAATATTTCAGTTTTTCTTGGAAACTAGGTATAAACTCATCCTCATCTCAGAGGTTTATGCACTTTGATTAGCAGACGGGTTTCATACAAAACTAACCTACATTCAGCATAAGAAAGACTGAAATGCCACATTTTGTGCCACAATACATTTTTTTTTCCTGGTTATTTCTGAAGACCTCAAAATTCAAGTGAAATTCTTCACGAGGAGCTTGTATATTTGACCACGGCTTTAACCCATTATTGTACAAAGATCAAAGCCAAACATTTCAAACACTCATCACGGTGCCAGAAAGCCTTTCCGCTTATTCTATCACATTATTGCCCAAGTGTCCTACATTATTGGAGCCTGATAATCCATCTTCAGAGGAACTCCCTTCAGAGCAAGTCTGGCAAAATGAGACCTGGAGGTTTGGGCTCCACACAGTTGATCCAGAAATTGGCACAGCTTGCATGGTACTGGTGCCCTCCGTAAGCCAGCTTAAAGTTATCCGTTTCTGAATTAAAGGCCTAGAATAGCAAGAATTGAAACAAGTGTAAGAGTCTCATCTACTCCGTGATACACAAACTAGAGGGGAGAAAGGATATTGCAGAGGTCTTCATCCCAGAATGATATAGCATGGAAGAGCCTGGACCCTCTCACCCTGAATCTCATCTGCACTTGCAGAAAGGAAGCACCCACGAACAATATTTTATGCTAGTCTGCAGAATATTTGCTGATGAACAAAACTTCCAGCCATCAGACCTCATACCTCACATCTACTTTTTCTGTAAGAGTCTGTATTAAAAGAGCATGATCTGATTAGTGTTTCCACTTGGTCTGAAACCTGGGAGTTAACTCACCTTGTTTCATGCTCTACTAATTCTCCTACATAGCCACAGAGAGGAAGAGCCTGTTCTGCCAGCCAGTCTCTAGCTACTGCTTTTATTTCCCTGGGTCAGACTTTGCTGTGATTTAGTTTTGCTGTGCTTGGGATCAATGTTACCTTCTATGTTGAATGTCGTCCATTTTCTTCTATTTAATGAACCTGCTTTTACAAAAGGAACTTCAGAATAGGGTGTGTAAAGAGATATGTTGCTGGAGGAGACACTGCTTAGAAGTCATGGCAAAAATAAATAAATAAAAGCCTAGACCCTCTAAGATATGGTTGATTTTTTGCTTTCTTTATCCAAAACGAGTATGATTAGCAGCTGTTACTACTTAAATATATATTTAATGCTTCATGGCTACTTATTAAAAAGATATTCTATCTCTCTTCCTCATGATCCCAGCTTTCCTCCATATATTTCAAAAAACGACACTGCCTACTGCACACAGCCAAAAGCTCAAATTGGTAGCAAACAAACTGAGGTTTCCCACCCTCTGCAACAGACACACGGGCAGCTACAAGCTACAAACTGAGCAAGTCTCTGCGGTGAATTTTCTGCCACACAACAGAAGTAGCACAAAACCAGACCGCTCTCCACAGGAGACGAGCATGCAGACAAGACAGAGGGGAGGCTCTAGAGCGTGTTAGTTGGTTGGATCAAGTATTAACAGTCACAGAAACGACTGGGAGGAGTCATGATTGGTACAATTGAGAATGACAGCTGAAGGCTGCTCAGCAATTCAGCCTTCCACACTCAGCTAAGAGAATGATTCTATAAAGAATGGGTTTTTACAGGTTCATACTTTTCTAGGAAGCTCTTCCACAGGTTTCTCTTCTTTCTGAAATAATGTTGAAACCAAAAAGTCAACAAAACTGCTAGTAATACATTAACGGGTTGATAGTACTCTGCACATATCTTGGGATACCCTCCCAGCTCTCCTAACTGTAACAGTTCCCCTTTTGCCATGATCTTCAGAGATGCATTTCATTAACTAAAAAAAAAAAAACAAACAAAAAAAACCCTCTTTAAAATATTTTTATTTATTTTTGTTAAGTCTCACTACCCCAGGTTCTTCCCCATCCTAAACAGTTAAACTCTTCAAACCCTTTATCCACAGCTGTCATTTCTCCCCAGGCCCAGTTAATGCAGGCCGTGGATTATTTGACTCCCATATATAGGTTGATTTTGCTATTTCCAGTTAAAAATTATAGTCATGAAGATTTGTAGATATACCCAACACTTAAACACAATCAGATCTAAATTAGAAACTTAGTTTGAGAACAGAGGCTACGATACTTACTTTACTCCTTGAATCCACGTTTAAGAGGCATACCCCACAGGCAAGATCTTGGGCATTTTTAATGCCTGGACGCAGCATACAAGACGAGAAATCTAGGGAGTTTTCATCTGGCTAAAAGAATAAGACGGGAAAATTTAGGCAGTTCCAGTGACTGAAGGATCAAACAAGCAGCACGGCAGAGACAACACATTGCATTTTCTCAAACTGATGCACGATTTAATCAAAACAAATAGTGTATATTTGCAAGTTTGCTATGCAATCTCCATGAACGTAAATCGTAACTCTCGTTCTCTTGAAAAAGGATTATAAAACACAGGAAAGAATTTGTAAGTTCTGTGTTCCCACATCAAAAAGGAAGAAACTTTTGAGGAAAGACAAAAGCAGCTGCTGTCACATTTCAGCTGCAGCGTGTTACAAATTGGATGAAGATAAACAGTGGAATGCAACAGCTATTTGTGCAGCTGCAAGGAAACAAGACATTGGCCAGCACAGCTTTCAAAAGTGGTATCTGTATCAGTGTTTATTGTGGTATCTGTATCAGTGTTTATTGTCCTGAATCCGTATTATTTCTTCCACACAAAAGAGCTGTAGTTATTCTTTCTGCACTATAAAACGGAATATTAAGGTTAGCCAAACCATACAAGAACTAAGGTTATCAACTGTTGTTGGTGTGTTGTATAAATGCTCACGTCGAAGAGAATCAAAGGTTGGGAGAATAAGCCTGGATATAACTGAATAAGAGAGGTAAGTGAATATATTTATTTTTCACTGTAGTTAAAGAAGGTCATTTTGCCCGTCGTATTTTCCGCAGCACGGACACAGAGTGCATGATATTTAACGGCAAGTTGACTTCTTATTTTCCATCTTGGTGCATCCTGCACCTGGCCCCCGGCACGTCCCGATTCCTCCGGTTCCTCTGAGCCCCTGCCCGCCTGGGGCTCCTTCCCCAAACCGCCCGCAGGAGCCGCTCGCTGTCCCTCCCTGCAACGCTCGCCCCGTTACACAGACTCCTCATCTCAGACCAGGTGAGCATTTCCTGGCAGTTTTGTCCAGAAATGGAAAGGCTATTTTGTCCATTGCAAGGACCAAAACAAACTTAGGCAATTCAAATCCAGAGAGAAGGGAAAATATCTTAGTTATCCCCGTGTTGCTCATAGCATATTGCCTACATTTTTAAGGCACTAAGACAACATCATGTTTGCAGGTGAATCAGAGCTAGAGAGAGCTTTAATCGTGATTCTACAGATAAATGCATCTCTATCTTGCAAAAAGAGATTAAAAGTAGTTAGTACACTGTGACATCTCTTTACATGCAATTATGGAGTTTCTTCCAGAAAAGCTATCGCTTATTTTGGGTCTTACCGTTAAAGCAGCAAGTGACATGAAGCTTATTAAGTTGTTCCACACTTTATCAATATCCTTTAGAAGCTGCTGGAGTTTCTCACTACACACAGCAGTTGCTTTGATACCCAATTCAACTCTCTTTGTTACTCTATAGACTTCAACAACCCCTGTTGGTATTAACAGAGTGGAGAATTACAGACACATTAATTGCAAGCACACGTTCCTTTAGCTGTAGCTGGGAAATAGCAGGGAACAGGCGTGGCACGTGCAAGGGAGTCAGGGATGTTTATTTCAAAAGTAATCATTACATTCATTTAGCTGAAGACTTGCTCATTATTTCAATGCAGGCATAGATTAAGCTAAAAAACAACACCAGGTTGGGAAGTGATCATATATTAGTATTTTCCAGAGGAGATCTTTCAATGGACATGGTAAATCAACACATACCTAATAAATATTCCATGCCTTGAGCAGACTGGATAACTTCAGTGCAAACAGATGAACTACTTATTCCATTTAAGGTATCATTTGCTTTCTTTATTACCTAGAAGACAAGAATTTCGTAAAATGGTTGCGTTATCTACCTTACAGTACTTACTACAAACAAGACTGCCACCAACACAAACCGTTTTAGTTTGCCTTTTGTATTAAAAAAAAAAATCCTTCATGACATGATTTTATACATTCATGTTGTTGTAATTCTAACTTGATCGGGTAAAAGTATGAACTTGCAAAACTTCAATGCATTCCCTCAAATATTTTCATTGCTAAAATAATACTTCTAGTGCATGCATGCTTTGGTATCTATTTTAATAAAAGCATTTACAGTTTTTGCACACACTCACAACTACTCTGGCTGTGAAATACCAGTATCAGCGTCCCTAACAGCATGCCTCGTTAGGTCACTCACAACCCAGGAGCAGCAAATTAACTAGTCACTTGGTAATTTAGGTAAAAGGCAAACTAATCATAAACGACAGAGAGATTAGCACAGCATCTTCAGCTGAGGAGGTGCCATTTCTACTCTGTGACAGCTTTTGGTTTAAAAAAATGTAATATACTTAGGCTGATTCACACCCTTCTACACTTACAGGGTCTGAAACACTGAATACAGTTGTACAGTGGAGTTTCAGGAGAGGGGACACACTTACCTGCAGGGCACTTTCCAAGCATCTTTGCCATTCGTACGCATACCTCTCGCTTTCCTGTTGGAAAGAAAAACAGTCTGAATCCTGTTCCTACACACTTGATCCGGCCAAAGGAGAAGCACAGAAGACAAGTGTATAAGGCAACTTTTTACAGGTTAGGTATAAGAACGCTTTTAATACCTATTTCCATTATTTTTAATTCTATTTGAGCATTAAAATTTGATATCTGGAAGTTAAAACTAGTTTCAAAAGAAAAAAGAAAAAACAAGTATGAACCAATACAAAGTTTGAATTGCACATTCCTACTCTAGACATGTTTGTTACAGTTCTACTGTTACCGAAATAGGGATTAGCAGAATTTAATCTGAGTTGTTTTACTATCTACTCTCAACATGAGTGAGAGAAGTAACTATCACACAGCCAAAAAAGTTAAGCCCTTTCCCAAAGCCAATAGTCTCAGAGCCAAAATTGGGATTAGATTTTAGTTGTAAACGAATTTTCAGTCACAAGCTTAGACGACCAGGTGAAGCTATTGTGACAGTTTCGGACAACAGGATTTCTTCCGTTTATCACAAGGCTTTGAAGCCAAGAAGGAAGAAGCCTCCTCAGTGAGCAGTTTCCAATCAAAGGATTTGATTGTACTCCGTACTACTACTGAGGTTGTTTTAAAATAATTCCCTAAATTAAAAATAGCTGAGGTCCCAACAGCCAGGATGCAGAACACCTTTAACACCACCCTGATGGACATCATTATTGACTCACTTGCCTTCCAGCCAATTCCTTACCTCCACTTCGCCAGTTAAGTCTTTGTATTTGTCTCTGATGACGGGCAAGGCAGGCTTCTCACTGAGAGTATTTGAGCGATCTCTAAATGGTTGCTCCAAAACTGGTAAAGGTGACGAGCGGCTTATCTCTCTGTCACCTAGGCTTAAGCTCCTTTTATGCGACCCTGTGAATGTCAGGATATAAACTAGTTATTCTGCTATGCATAAAGACAGCAATTGTTTAAGATGAATAGAGTGGTAGCTAGTGATATGCTACTACTCTAGAACAAAGCAATCTCTTTACTCAGTAAATTACGCAAATTTCCTCCTTTTTTCAGTTCTTACTTTCTTTGGCACAGTACATTTTTATATCCAGAAAAAGGCCTATTCCAAATACAATGAAAATGGTGAGAAGATTCAGCTTACTTCCAGTAGTCTTTGGAACAATTCCCACTGCCCACTTTGTAACCCAATTGGATAAATAAGCATTTGATCAACGTGCGCGTTACGAGCTTCTTCCACCCCAAACACGCCTACCTTGAACAGACAGGTCAAAGGTAGCCAGTTCACTCCTGATCATTTCCTCGCTAGACTTCATCTTGCCTTGGGAAGTCGCTACCAAGAAGTCAAACTTGCTGATTTTCGGCTTTTCGCTTTGGAATTCTCCAAAGTCATCTGCAGGCTCTTTCGGCAAGGCAGAAGAGATCCCGGGAGCAAGGAAGTCTGCCTCCTGATTGGCATCTCCTGCTGCTGCTGCATCCCGCGCTTCTGATGGAGGTCTCGCAAAATCGCCGAAGTCTCCGATGTCCTCATCGCTTGGACCGCTGGAGACCACGCCAGGGTCTTTGAAGTTTGCAAAGGCTCCAAAGGGAGCGTCCTGCAAAGCATCCTCGCTGGAAAAGGTTGTCACTTTGGAAACTGTTGTCATGGTAATGTTTTCTGAACTGCCAAACAAAGTCTCTTTCTTCTGAAGGACTGAAGTGGCTGCGGAGGATCCACTTCCCGAAGGCTGGACAAAGGAAGGGAGCTTCTTGCCCTGATGAATGTCGTCTTTGTCGGACCAGTCATAGCTTGCCAGGCTGCTGACTGCAGACCCACTGTTGTAGCTTCCAAATGGGGCACATTTTAAGTCATCCATATCTGAGAAAAACAAACCCCTGCGGTTAGGAGCTGGAGCTTAACAAACAGGATCTCTCTGCACTGCATAAGAATAATAGCAACTCGCCACGAGCCTTAAAGACCTGCAGAAACAAGTGCAGTGAATTGTTCCAGTGAGGCTTAAACTAGAGTTTGCAGAGAAAGGTAATCTGAAAAACAGCTAAGCATACAACTAAAAAAAGTCTGTTTAATAGATGTAAGCCTTTTTCTTAGAATGTTGTCTTATATTTTAACATGAAAAATCACCATCCTGTTATGAAGAGTGAAGAAACATACTAACTATATGTATATGTTTCTGACATGAATATTGCAAAGAACTTGTTTTAGCTTTTACATATGTACAAAAGTATAGAGAAAAGTATACAGTCTGCACAAAAAGTCTGGTTATTTTGCGGAAAGCTCCCAGCTTTTATACTCACCCAGCAATTATATAGGCCAATAGGTTCTCACAGCCACTAGTGGGTGTGAGAAACAGCCTGTTTGCTTACATGAAACCCAGCAAAGGAGACTTCCCAGTGAGCCAGGCTCTGCTAGGCTGGGTCTGCTGCTCAGGCTACTTATCTGTCACAGTTAGACTGCAACAGGGAAGGCATAAAGGGGCTGCCCAGCTTTCACGGGAGCATGAGAAGAACCCCCTTACACTGCCCCGTTTGGCATTTGTTTTCCAGCATTACCCGCTGTCCGCTCGGATTAGACTCAGCTGCTGCAGGTGCCCGCGGTCCAAGGGTCTCCAGGTGGAGCAAGCACTGGGCAGAAACGGGCAGTGCCGGCGCCGCATCAGCCCGGCCCGCTCTGCGAACGGGCCGGTTCGGAGGGGCTGGGCGCCAGGAACAGCACCCTGGGGCTCACAGGGACACGTGGAAGCAGGATGAAGCCCAGCTGCCCTTTGTACTCAATCTGGCCATGCTAACCTGAGGATTAAGCCCCATTAACACAGCATTTTTACCTTCATTTAGCCATTTTACCAAAGAGTACCCTGTGCTTTAGGCTGCTTTCCGGGCCTGACTCACATACATGGTTAAGAACCCTGCCCGTGCTAGAGAATAACGATCCAAGAGTTTAACGGCCACCACAGCGAAGGCAAGAGCCTCTCTGCACCGGGCCAGCGGGGCGCACTCCGGCACTGCGCTCAGGCACTGTGGCACGTGTCGCTGCCCTCGGGGGCACGCGGGCACCTCGCACACACGCAGCCAGGGGCCCACGCGCCCCCCGGCCGCCAGCTCCCTGCACGAGGGGCGGCTTCGGGGGCTCCCAAAGCCCCCTGCGTGCAGCTCCTCGCAGGACGATACCTCACATCTTCCCACACGGAGACTCAAGATGCTGTGTCTGCACCCGGATAGGCTGGAAACCTACCTGGCAAGTCTATGAGCTGGCATAAAACCTTATAGTTCAATTTATATATCTTACTCATTTAAATAGTTTTACTGATTACAAAAAATACTACTCGAGTGACTAAACTTTCATGAGAGTTTTACATTACAGGGAAAATGTGTTTGGAGACAAAATGTTCAGAGCTAAAGCAGTCCTAGAACAATTTTATGAAAAGTACAAATATAGGAGTGGAGAGGCAACTCTCCATAATTCAAGTAAACTAGCTTTTATAAGATTTTTAATTTAATTGAGAAAAAACAAGCAATGTCTGCTAGGACTTGCACTGAATTTATTACAACCTAGCTGTTTTGCATGGAGGAAGCAGAACCATCCAGTGTGAGAGCTGTGCTAAGAGTAACGGCTTATCTAGGCTCTTAATGCACCCGCGGTGTAATGAAAAGGGGAGAAACAAGAGTTTATTTTTCCCCCTGACAGGTAGCAGAGCCACCAGCCTAATGAGCAAAGCAGCAGTTTCCATGGGGAAAGCCCCCGAGAGCTTGGTGTGATGTGGGCATCTCTATTACTGGCACGAAGGTTGTTTTATTAAGCACAGCTAAGAACTGCTCTGGCAACAGCCACCTGCCTTGAGACCACAAATACCATTAATGAATTAAAAAAGCTCCAGTTAAAATACTGCAATTATAATCTCTGGTGTAATAAAAGCTTCATTTTACTGTTATTGCAATGCAATATTAAAAAAAAAAAAAGCACATGTATTAGTGATATTTTTTCAGAGCAAGAGACAATTAAGTGGGGAAACAAAAAGGCCTGATTCTAGCTAAGCATCATGCTTGGTAAAGGCTGATGCTACTGAGGAACAGCTACTGCCACTTCCTGCTGCAGGAGACTTTGGGTAAGAAAAGAATCCTAATAAAAGCTAAGCATCAATTTTGCATCATAGAATGAGCAAAAACTAAATCCATTCAAAAATGCCAAAAAGCTTTGCTTCCAGAATATACAATCTTTCTTGCTAACGTTAGGTTTTTTTTTTTTTAATAAAGATAAAATTCCACTTAAAAAAAAAAAACCCCACAAAGCAAAAGCAATCTGCCATCTGGTCTTCTTTCTCTCCATTATTTATGTATTTATTCCAAGGAGGATTAGTGTTCTAATGATCACGAGTGCGACTTTCAGCTCTTGCTGAGTCGGGGTCGGTCGGTGGCTTTTGGAGAGCACGCCTGGCACAGCCGGGGCGCCCTGCAACGATGCACGAGAGCCTTGGGACTCCCCGAGAGAGGAGCAAAGGGTTGGAAATATTTACCATTTACTTCCCATCTATTTTGAGCTTCCAAGACCATATTCCCTGCCTGCTGATCACTCAGGAGGAGCCACAGCTTGAGAAGTCGGCACTAGAGCTGTTGATGAGAGGTAGAGGGAAACTTGCCAGGAAACATAAAGAAAACAGGATGAAATACAGATAAAACACTGTTCCTGGTGATATCTCATCTACAGAAAAACTCGACATACTTCATTTGAGCCAACTACAACCACTCGCTCCAACCACCACGGATTAAGTTATGCCTGGAAGCAGTTTACAAACTGGAGTTGTCTGTGTCAAGGGTTTCATCATTCAAGAGGAGCCTTGGACTGCATGAGGGATACGCGGCAGAAAAGACACAGATGGCAATTCAGAAGGTGCGAGATAGACTGAGTATAAGGGGGCAGTTTCCCTTTCACCCTGCAGGTCAGAGGCGGCCCAGGTGAGTGCTGAATAATGCACTTAAGCATAATTAAAATAAAGGAGAATGGAGAGAAACACCTCCATGCCTTGTGGAGGTAGGAAATCCTGCTAATTATCTCTTATTATCAGGATAAACAAAGCTTCACAGCGGAACAAAGCCCCTCTGCGCCTGCACGAGGCACTGGAAACCGCTCGCTTCAGCCCTGAGAGAGCTCGGCGGGCGTTTGGGAGCGCTGCTGTGTGCAGCCGGGCCCTCCCGCTCGGCCTCCGCTGCCGACCACAAACACACGCGGCCACCTTCCCTTCTGCAAACCCTCAGCAGGAAACGTAAGTGCTTGAAAGCCCTCGTCACAGCGAGTGAATTTGACTGTCAAGCCTGGGTGAGCAAGCAGCAAGATGGACAGTCATGAAGAGGCCTCTCCTTCCTCCAGGTATGGTTAGCCCAGCAAGTACCAGTAACGCAGCCTTACAGAACCGAGTCTCTCAGGTTTATGTTCAAGGCTTTGGTTTCAAAAGCCTTAGGGCTAATGTACTGGTTCTCTAAAATGAAAGAGCTTTTTGTCTCCAAGTCTCTCAAGATTGTTGCAAAGAGGAGGAAAAAAAAAAAACAAATCAGTCTTCTCATCTAGTTTTGCCCCAGGGCACCGAGGTCAGAAAGTGAAGTTTGCCAGGACACAGCATTTGCTCGTTAGCCCACATCTCAATTATTTCTAACTTGTTACTTTGTCTGCTAATTTGACAATACCCCAGCCCCGTTAATGGCCCAGAGCTTGCAAGAATTCAAAGTGACACAGTTACATAACACAAATTTGCCCCTGTCATTTGTGTTTGAAAGAGCTCCAACATCCAGTAAGGCAGGGCTTTCTCAAGAGAGGCCAAGGAAGCAAGGCCCTTTGAGGGTATTCGTTAACTCACTCCAGATTAGCAAAATAAGTATCAGAATATTGTTTAATGGCTTCCTGCCCATACGGGCCCAGCTAGTTATGTATTTTCCCAAGGGCCCTGGTCACGAGGCCACAGTGCAACTGGGCAGCCTGCAGGTGAGGAGACAAGACAGAGCTGGGGATTTGTGTCCTCACGCCTGGCAAATCCCCCAGCCCCTCAATGTCAACACCCCCAGAAGCAGCCCGACCCTCGGGACAGGCAGTCTGGGCAGCCCCTCTGCCCAGAAGGGCTCCAGAGAGCACAGTTTAGCCCCAAATTTCAAGCTTCAGAGAGCCAGGCAGTCAGATCAAGATGCTGAACAGCTGGAGCTCATGGGTTCATTGCGCTACAAGAGAAAGGTACCCACAGTTCAAGGGGATACTATAACTTTAAACTTTGTATTTTCAGAAAAAGAGAGATACACACATTGCTGGGTTGCAAACAAATCACACACACCCCCACGCTTTCAAAATATGCCAAGGTAATATTTATTAACACAGCAGGACTTACAGGTCACAAAAGATAGTGATACATAGGAGCTTGTAAGGGCGTTATCAGAATAAAGCATGCAGGTCAATACTTGCAGAAGAGATATCAAAGCAGATTTGAGAAGGCACATTCACACAGGAAATGTTTAGTTGAAATAAGACATTAGAAAAGCAGCAAAAACTTGAAGTTGATTAAAATATACAGAGATCTCTGATTATGCCAAAGAAAAGGTATTTTACAGATTTGTAAGTGCAGCAAACTGCATAACCCCTTTGAGAATACACTGACTGAGGGTACATCCGTGCCGCAGCGCTCAAGAGAGCTCAGAGCTCAAACTGGGCTCACGCAGCACAACTAGACGCCAATTAAAATGCTTTAATCTTGGAGTACAAGGTAAATTTGGTGTCAAAGCAGCAGCCTCACCGACCTCACAACATGCAGCCAGTGCTCAAAGGGTTATTGCAGTATACGCGAGAAAAACCAGGCAGCATTAGTATCATGTTCCTTCCACACACAGAATTACAGCGAAGTTCAAAGAGACAGTATCCCCTTTGGAGAGAGCAAAATCCCCCAGGGCCTGGGAAGGGGCTGCGCACGCTGTGCCTAACCCCGGCCGCACCGACCTGCTGCAAAGGCTGCGTGAACACGTCCTTGCAGCCCGACGCAAGGGCTGCATTAACCCGTCCAGAGGCCAAGGACGGAGTCGTCCTGCGGAGCGCGTGGGAGGCGCCGCGCGGCACCGCGGCCGCCGCGCTGCACAGGGATACTGTCCCTTGGTGACATTGCATTTACAGACAAGGGAAGAAAGTAAAGCCTGCTTTTTAAGTCAATTTAAATAAATAAATAAATAAACGAGCGGATCATCAGCAGTTCATCGCTTGAAATGTACCAAACATACAGAAAGGAGCACATGAACACAGGAGTGGTTGTAACAGGGTTCAGAGCAAGCTCCGCGGCGAGACCTAAACAGACCCAAAGGGAGTCAAACTCTCCACGTGGAAAAACACCCAGCTTGGCACCGTAAGAGAATACAGGCTTGTTTTGTTTAATAAAAATAGCTTCTAGGTAATACTTCAGAATTCAAAAGTTTAGCAACAAGCACATGATCAGCTAACCCCCTTAAACGACAATAACAACAAAATCTTGCCTGCCACAAACGGCAATCGCTAATACTGGTTTCTGTGGCCAAAACTCGCAGACAGTAGAAGAGCTACCTAAGTCAAGCTACCACCAAAAGAGGCTAGAAAAATATTAGGAAAAAGTGCTTCCAAAACCAAAGTAAACATTCAAGAATACACTGTTGGTGCTACGTTTTTGACAGCTCACTCAACTTGGAATTTTACCAAGCAGTAATATGAAAATTAAATGTCTTTGCTAATAAAATTATTCCTGATATTTTGTACCCTGTTATAGAGTATCCTCCATGTCAAAGTTGCCAGCTTAATTTTCTTTCCCCTACTTAAAAATATCTTATAATGCAAAATTACAGTACTGTATATTTCCTCTATCCACATCTGCAAAAATGGAAGAAATATTTCATGTGGAAATAACCAATTTCTGCAGTAATAGCTTTTAGATTTACAGTTTGTGTGCTGCCCCTGTTCAGAAAAGCCTCTGACTGCATAATACTTGTCACTAGAACACAGTAATGGTTCCCGTATTATCGAAGGCCACAGAGCATTTAACTACATCTTATCTTCCTATATACACATGAGAAGAAAAAGCAGGACACTTGGGAAATTTGCTTATGATATGTGATCAGATTGGAGATGCTTAATTCATTCACTCAGGAATAGTTCCCTAAGGGGGAGTTAAAGAACGTCACAACCTGGAAAGGATAAAGTAAAAGTCCATTGGTTCAAAATTTAGGTCCAAAAGCTAGCAATAATTATTTAGGTCCAAAAGCTAGCATTTACATGTCCTCTACACAATTATTCCAATAATGTTTTAATTCTAAAAAGCGTATGCAATACTTCCACTTGTAGTCCTGCAAAATACTGGCTACACAGATTGAAGTCCCACCATCACGGGAATATACTAGTGTTGTTGATTAGATGAGGTTTCATTAACTGCTCAAATTAGCATTCTGCCTGCCCTTGTAGAAGCACAGAACAGGTTAAGTCCCCAGGCCAAATGCTTTGTCAAAACCAAGAGATCAAAGCAAGACTCTCTGCCACTCACTTCGCTCATACCCATGGAACGACGATGTTTCCATTAACATTTTTCCACTCAAATCCCTTAAGTGACAATTGCTAACAGGTATCATCAACATAATGTTGTCAGATCTCAAAAAACAACTGGAACTGAGTTCAAACTGACTGGTTTCTTTATAGTCATCTTAGACCAAAAACCAAACAAAACAAACAAAAAAAAAAAAAAACCACCCAAACAAACCCAAAACCTTTCAAGGGGCTGGCGGCTAGCAGGTACACAGGTTCAGAAGCCCTTCACTATTGAAAGACTAGTGCATAATACTGTAATTTAGCACACAGAAGAATACTGCAATCACCATCACCTACATTACCAGAGCAATCTAACCAATTCCTCACCTGCTGCTGGTGGATGCTGGCCACTAACTGTTGGCAAATCCAAAGAGCTATCAGACATGACATGTTTAAGATCTCCTCCCACATCAGCCAGTTTCATGTCAAACTGAACGGACAACGCGTCTTCGGAATCCTCCTTGCCAACACTGCTGCCACCAATGGAAGGGAGATCTAGAGACTTCACTGAAGCAGAGTCTTCTTTGGCCTGCTTGAAAGCCGCCACTTTGTCCACCAAGGATTTATCCGCAATGTTGCACGTGGAAGAGAACTTGTTGGAGTGGAAGTCGGCAAAATCGTCGTCGCTCTTCACTGAGGAAAGCGGGTTGTCCTTGCCCTCCTCGAAAGCGCCCCCCGAGCCTTCCAGGGAAAGCTGTTTGAAGATGTCGTATTTGGTGGGGGTGGCGCTGGCGGCAGAACTCGGCCCACTCTTCACAGCGCTGGCAGAGGAGCTAGACTGAGGAACAGGACTGGCCTCCAGTTTCAGTGCATTGTATTTGTCATCCGTTTTTTGTTCGGAAAATCCACTGCTATTATTGAAAGCCATAAAATCGGCAAAGTCATCTTGTCCACTGGCTGTCGTGCAATTAGAAAATTCTCCAAAAAGGTTGAACTCTCCAAAGTCATCAGCTAAGCTTGAGCTTTTGCTGGGTGCTGGCTGGGCAGTAGCAGATGGAAGCGGTGGCAGAGGAAAAGAGGCTGATTTTGATGTATTGAATGCAGGAGGAAACGAGAGCTGCTTGTTCTCTCCAGTAGAGGAAAAGAGATCCAAGTCTGCTAGGTTCAAAGAGGTCTTTGACTGCGTTTGCTGTTTTGACTGAACGGGTAGAGAAGGGAAGGATGTGGGGAAAGTTTTGTCTTTTGTAGGTGGCTCTAAGGGTGAGACACTGTCAGCGGTTTTAAAATCTGTGAAGCCGTCATCAGTTCCTGCAGACTTGAATTCTGCAAGGTTATCTCCTGAGGAGAAAAACAATAGAAGAAAGTAGGATATTGCAACGACAACAAATACATCTTGTTCACACCATGCAAGCAAGCAAATTATTTCATGCAACGTGAGAAGTTTTTATGCAAACTATTTAGATTAAGAGCTCAGAATGCAAGTAGAACTGCAAACTCAACTTTTATGAATCACGCAAGCTTCAGGGTCAGTGATTCTAACATTCATTCCAGCAAAACTTAAGAAGTCCTTCAAAAAGCCTCAAAGTCATCTTACATTCCCTTTACACAGTATCAAAGCACACCAGGAACAATAGATTCAAAGGGCATCAGCTCTGTCTCATTCAGCTCCTGAATACGTTTTCCCCACCTCATCCTTCTCATATTTGCCAAGCAAATAATCTAATCTAGAATTTCACTTATAATAATATAGCATTTGTTTGCTTACAGAAGCAATTCTCCCCTTTCCTCTCTTCAAAATATTTCACAAATACGTTTTTTTTTTCAGAGGATGTCAGCAGGAGGCCGAGACAGAAGCAGCCCCTCTTGAAAGGGCAACCCAGGAGGGACAAACTGGATTTGACTGCTGGTTAAGAAAGGGACCCAAGAAGGCTGACAGTGCTATGGAAGGGATTGTAATTTAAACCTGATTGAATAGTATATAGAGAAACATTTTCATTGAATCTACAATAAATATTTTGGTGTACTAGTTTCATAAACGGGTTCCTGCTCATATAAAAATTTTACCTAAAAAAAATATTCTCCTTATATAAAAAATAATATGGAAAATGGTATTTCATTAACCCATTCACCAGCATATACTTGCTTATATAGCCTGTAATTTTGAAGTAGTGATGCATATTCTATGGACATTACTGTATATATACAAACTTTTTTTCCTTTTTTAGAACTACACCATTAACATCTGTGAAACTGATTTAACTCTTAAACTATCACTTCATGTCATATTTTAACTTAGTTTAACCAAGATTTAACAGAATACTGCTTATAATGGTAGCAGAGCGCCATGGCTACACCTGACACTACTCCATCCTCCTTGCCCTCCAATTAATTCTCTGGGCCCAAAAGCAACACAAGAACTTTTGAAATTGTCATTCATTTATCACAACTAAAACATCACAGCAAACTAAACTTACTGATGAACTGCAAACTTTTCCATTAGAAATGTAAGCTGGTGAAAGGGTTAAGAGTGGTCAGGCATGGATAACAGGCAAATACAATTTTTTCTCAGGCAATCAGGCAAGCAGTTTTGTCCTAGAATCAAAAATGCTGTGTACAAACAAAGGGACGAAATTCCAGAGTGTAATATAAATTTATTACTAATTGAATCTGACTTCCACAAAGTTAAATTTTGATCTGTCCACTGTAACGTAAGGAAGTTAGAAGAGCTTGAGATTTGAGATCTCAAACCTCAAACCACCTTTTTACCTTCTGATTAAAAACACAGGCATATCTAGGCACATACTGCATAAATGAATTTCACACCAGTGGTTCTGGAGAAGGATTAGAAGGCTGCTCTTTTATAACTGCTCCCCACAAGGTATCCAAACGAGCTCTCTGCAGGTGCACAGCTGTGCACTGGTGCAGCAGCACCCTGCACTCCTGTTGCACGGCACCTCCTGCCAGCTGGCTCAGGACAACTGCTCTACACCACTAGCAGTGCAAACGCAGGAGCTCGCAGGGAAACACCAAAACACAGGAAAATACACTCAAGCAGCTCCACTAAGTATCCTGCTTACCTAAGTATTTGCTCTCCGATGGCTGTTCTAATTCACGGAAAGCACTGTATTTGTCTCCACGATCTAGTGCATGTGAGAAAAGAAATAAATTTACATCACGATATTATGAACTCAAATGTCCTATATATTAGGTCAGTTGCTCTGTATTTTTATTAATATTTTATCAAAGACAGAAATATAAGAAATATGAAATATTGCAATGAATTGCACATAGTTGTTGAATAGTTTTCCTTTTACCTCCAAAAGCAGACGAGCTCTCAGAAGGCTTCTCAGCTGAAATTCCCTTAAATACAGCATACTTATCAGTTGATGGGAGTGTTTTACTACCTGGGAGCGGCATTAACAAAGAAGGAACACTAAAAACAAAGAAACAAACAAAAATTATTAAAATAAATAATAAAAAGGAACCACTATTCAAAAAGAAGGAAAAGATAACTTTGAATTTCTGCACAGTGCAAATGAGCAAGTTTAGGCAGACATGCACTTAGTAAAATAAGGATTATCCCACAGTTACACAAGCAAATTATTCTACTCACAGAAACACACTATACAGTAAAGCCACCGTAAGAGCATAACACTGTGCATAGAGGATTTAGAGGACGCTTTACAACAGCTCTGCTTGCCCTCCGCACAGGGCCCCTTATCAGACCCTGGCAGCTCTACAGAACAACGTCCTTTACATACGAATGTCCATTTTACCTCTAGTTTATGTCACTCAATACCACGCACACACTGAAAACATGAATGAATTGCTATGGAGTTCATGGGCCTGAAGCAAGAATCTTTCCAGAGCCATTTAAATCTCCTTATCAGCAGCCTGCCAGCAACATACAAACCCAGCCTTGCACACGCGTGCTAATGACGGTCTGTGGGGCTTGCAAACAGACAGCGCAATGTCAAAAAAATATAGCTTATGGTAAGATAATTAAATTTCACATCACTGTGAAACAGGCTATTAGATATGCAATCTTGGCGAATGTAATGGTTAATCATCTGTACTCTACAGATGGCTTTTTTTACTTTAATAAAGCTCCATAAGCAATTAGCTTATAGCTCGTTGTAACATTCTGTTCAAAATGGAACGCTTTTCAAGTGAATAAAGAGAACTGCTGCCATGAAAAAGACACACCATTTTTTCAGGATCCCCTGCTTCCCATTGTTGATTTTAAAAGCAATGTTTGTTAACTCTCACTCTCAGCTTTAATTACAAAACGATGTCCAAAATGAAGACATTCTCTACTTAAAATAGGACACCTTCGGATAAATGTGCCATAACTGGTATCAACAAAATTAAATTCCTTACATAGAATGCCATCGTTCACACTGCAACCAAAAGACTGGTGAATAACAGCATCCTATTTGAAGCTGCTGTTGAGGAAGTGACTGGTAATTGCTGCTTACCTGGAAAGCATTAGTTCTGTGTGCAGCGATGGACAATCAGTCCAACACACTGAGAGTGTGTGTGTCTACAATTAACACACAAGGAAGCCACATAAAACTTTGCACTGTACAATAAAAGGAGAGACTTTGGGATTTTATGACCTTAGAACTTTGAAAGATTGACTTCAAGCTTTCAAAGGAATTAAATACTTATACTTACTTGTTACATAAAATTTGCCTGAACCACGACTACACCTTGGCAGCCTCCCAGATGAAAAGGCAAGACTGCTGAAGTCTGAATGAGATTTCAATTCATATTAATAGTCAATTACTAGAAGTTTAAGCACTGGTCAGAAAGGCCACTCCACTTCTGCACCATTTAGAAGAACGTGATGTCGTCATCTTTGCAGACCCTGATGGCAGTGAATGTTTTCTATCAATCTCAACAACACTGGCTCATACTCTTAACAGAGGCACACAGTGCTAAGAGCAGTAGTCATTTGTTCCAATGCATTTTTCTGAAGAGCTGTACATATGATTTTTGTGTGACTGCTCTGTATGAAGTAATTTACAGTTGCCTGTGCAATAGTGTGAACATTTCAAAAACACACCTTGTATATGCGATTTACCTCAGCATGGTGAATGGACCACTAAAGAACAGCCAACCACCTATGTTACATCAATTGCCATTTTTAATTCAGAAAGCTTAATTGTAGTTGTAACAGCCTTCCAAAGAAACTGCCAGGGTAGAAGCCGGCTGATGGAAGAAAATTACAGGCTAAAAAGCTACTCATAAAAGAGTAGAACATTTCATTTCTTAAAAGAGTTCTAAAATATCAAAGGGCTGGAAAATTGAAGATCTCCTACCTGCTCCGGTGCTGTGAAGTGGCTGCTTTGGAGGAGCCTGCTACATCCCCTTGGAAATCAGTGAAAGAGTCATCTATTGAGCCAGACTTCGAAGCATCTTGGAACTCCTGGAAGTCATCCTCCTCGGGCTTTGCCACCTGGAATACAGATAAAGCCTACACTGATACCCTGCTGTCTTCCCAGACTGCCACACTGCATTAAACCTGTCCAGGATTTCTCCCCACTCTAAAAACCAAACCACCCAGAACCACCTCTCACCTGGCCTGGTGGGTAGGACGGAGCAAAAGGCGCCGCGGGCTGCGTGGCAGCTCCACCCGCTGCTGCCGTCATGCTCATCCCTATGACGGCAGCTCCCATACTCAGAGGCAGGGAAACGGGCGGTCCAGAGGGCATCAGCGGCTGCTGGCTCACCGCAGCAGGCAGGTGCATTGGGAATCCGGTTAAAGTAGGGACAGGGGCAGCTGGAAACTGGTTTAGCACATCAGGACTCACTGCTGGTATTCCTCTCTGCACAAGCAGGAAAGCAGAGAGCCATTCAGGACACATTAATGACAACTGCATACTGCATTCTCAGCTCCTTTCTCGTTTATCAACAAGCCTGCACTGTGAATCTTATGAATTTAATACCCTAAGTGCTGGAGCTGTGTGGACAGCAATGACAGACCTCACCTGGGTGTTGAGAAACATTTCACTGCATTTTTGTTCAGCTTTAATAAGCAAAGCTGGCAAGCACTGGCAAGCAAAGCTGTGCTGAACCTGCTGTTGCTAGACAGTCTTTCCCCCACACACCACTCTCATGTGGTACCTCAGTTGAGATCTTCACAGCTGAAGACACTCGTGCCTTAGTTTCCATACAGGGATGGTATTTTCTGACAGCTTGCTACTAAACTGGTAAAATATGACACTACACTAACACTTAGCAAAAGCTTAAAATCAGCATTTGTCGGTGCAGGAGAGAAGGCAGCAAGTTCAGCTGTGCACAGCCTAGGTACAGAGAAACCACAGAATTTGTGGGGAACAAATATACGTACACAAGAGAAGAAATACAACCAGTGCTTTAGACTAGTAAGATGTGAACAAAACATATGCATAAGAACCATCTTCAACCAGTACCACTAAAGGAGGGAATAACTGTAGCATAAGTGCAAAAGAGAATGAAATTACAGTTTCATTGAAGTTACTTTCTCTTCCAGACTTCAACAGAACCGGTACTTCACTAGAGGTGGGGTATATCGGCCACTTGTGAGCTACCTCCCTGCGTTAATCTTCCCCCATTAGTTGTACCTGAGTCACTGCTATCATAGCCAGGACAGCATAAAGCTCTTCTTTCGTGAGCTTCCCAGGTGTAGTACGGTTGGCTAAAGCCCAGATCTGCCCAAGAGTCTCTCTGGGCAATCCGGATGACATCAGGATGGGATAGAGTTTAGCAGTATCGATTCCCGTAGGAGTCATCGTCGTTTCTAAAATTTTCTTATACAAATCTGTGAAAAGGGACTCAATATTAGATAGCAATAACTGCAGTTTCCAAGTGAATTTAAGATTGCTTTTTTATTCTGACTCAATTTTATGTGCTGTATGTTTAGAGTTTAACAGCATTCAAAAAAGTACAGGTATTCTGGCATCATATTCAATAGTCCTGTTTCACTTAAAAGTCCTATTTGATGGTCTTGGCACACAAGTTTACACAAAGAAGAAACATTCTAAAGAATGCTACTAATGCTCTATATTTTAAAATATCCATCTTTAATAAGCTGCTAGGATAACTCTTAAGAAAAGATAGTTTAGAAGCTTTTGTATTTAGAAATCAGTGTAAACAATATTTAGTACAGCATTTCATTTTCTCTTTATTGTTATTTGATATATAAGGTAAAAAAAATTAGAGAAATGAGTGTGCTAAAATAGGTATCAGAAAACAAACTATGCATGAAACAGTAACTTCTACTAGCATAATCTGCTATCATTGCAAACTCCAGATTAAATATGTAATGTGCTTTTTATGTGCGCCCTTTCCCTTATTTATTTATTTTACCTGGGACCAAACTATCATTGTAAATCCAGGGAGGCATCATCTGCTGAATGGGATCCTGCGAAGGGAACACTCCAACTCCTAAATGAGCACCATTGAGCAAGAAGAAGGAGGAGATGACTGTTATTAGGACATCAGATTCAGAGCGAGATCTTTGAGACTAGATCAGTTTGTCAGTATTATTTAGCATTTCAAACAAAGATTTCATATAGGAGGACTTCACATATGCCCAAAGAGGAGAAAGAGCTTCTACAGTCAATATGTATTTCAAAGATAACTAGAATGACTGGGAGTAGCAGTAAGAACACAGTTCTACACCCACAAGGAAATAGGGACCTCCTAATTTGCAAAATTTCTGGTTGAACAGAAGCTCAAGTCTCATAAAGCACTTCTGTGCCATATCATATTTAGTCTTCCCAACAGCAGATTTCTATTTAGGGCCATCTGCAGAAGAAATAAATGCACCCCTACTAAAACAGAAGTCTAAGAAACATTTATAACTCTCCACCAGATAATCCTGCTCAGGGAAATCCACAAGCAGCCTGAATCTCTGCTGCATGTTCACGTTCTGTGTCCACTGTCTCACTGCTCCTAGTCTTCAGATCCAGAAGACATCATTGCTGTCTGCAGTGCTGCAGAGTTTCATAACGGGATCTGTCACACTTTAATCCCTGTGAATTGAATATTTACTTCTCCAGTGCACTAAATCTTCCCCTCAGTCTCGCAGCTTTACTCCCTGATCCCCCAACAGATTTTTTCTCGACTCAGATGAAGCTCTGACAAACTCTTCATTATTTAAGAATTCACTCGTTCTTTCCCAGTGTGCTCACATCTCTTCATCTTCCACACCAATTCTCTCCTGACTACAGTCTAATTTCTAATCATCCCATAGCTCCAAGCACATTTTAATACAAGCAATTCCTTCCATTTCACCAGCCATGCAAAAGACATTTGCTGCTTCCTCCAATCTGATTATTATTCTTCAACTTTAACCACTCTTCCCAAGAAGAAGAAAAAAAAAGTATCAGATTATCCTACATTTGTGCAAAGTGAACAATGCATGGTTATTTTGCATGGACTGAATTATGAATAAATGAATAGTTCCCGTTTCATGCCATAAATTCTTTTGAGTTAGGTCACTTTTAACAATTTACCATTTATTAAAAAGGCCCTCCACTTATTAAAAAAATGCCCATTCAAACTATTAATCTGATGAGATTTCTTAATACATATACATATAGGACAAGATAACACTTGAAAGCAATATACACAAACAGCCCAAGTGGAAAATACAAGATTAATAATAAAAAAAAAGTGTCTGTAGTTGTAGAAAATAACTGCTTAAAAAGGTGCCTAATGTATTTATCTATGCACAGGAAATTGTTTCCCTTCTCCAGTTCATGTTATCCTCCAGTGAAGTGAGATTACACAAAGGACTTGTATTTATTCTCAAATACACTGGAGTTCAAGTTTCATGTAATCCTAAAGTCCAACAGCAGAGCATTAACCAAGGTGCAACAAGCACCTGCTTTGACTGAAATAACTAGTAAAAGAACCCCAAACATTCAATTCTCAATTTTAACAAAATGAACACTGGAATTAAAGCTTGTTTCAAGTTTGGCTTACTCCATTGATCCAGCTTATGAAATTTTGAACCCTAAAATGCAGACAACTTTAGACAAGACATGTATGAGAAGTAAATTGTCTGGGAATCTAATAGTGCCCAGCCGAGGACTTTAACCTAGCAGTGTTTACCCCCACAGAGTTCAAGGTAAAAATCCACCATTATATTGACTATCTTTAGCAGCAAATTCCTTAAATAAATAATAAGTCTTTAGAGAACAATCCCTCCCTTCTTCCCCCAAGAAAGAGGACAGACTATTTTAACACAGAAGCAGACCTGATTAAACAAACATGTTAAAGTGATTACAGCAGCAAATTTATGTGGAAAGAGTCCAGAGCAAAATCACAGTTGTTACTTTCAGCAGGAGCAAGAGGCATCTCAATATTATTCAAGCAGGCATTCAGAGCAAAATTATGCAGCATTGGCCTGGGAATTAGTGTATCAAGTGTTAGCATTCAAGCGGCATGAGATTTAAACTCTGTCACATGTTTCATTTGCTCACCACACTCTTCAGCTGCTATGTTTTGTTCTGAAGCCTTGCGCGCCTCTGCAGCAGTGGTACCACTTTCACGTCCACCTACAACCCCCCAGTCACTGCTGGTTAGACTGGGCTGAACGCGGCTTGCTGAGGCTTTGTGCCCAACTTCGGGTGTTCTAAGTTTGGTTTGGTCTCGTTCAGATTCATTTAGGTCTTTATCTAAGACTTTCTCCTCCAAGGAAGAGCCTGAATAAACAGCAGGAGGAAGTGTTTATAGTTTGTTATTAGCACCCAGACTGTAATACTGCACTTCTAAAGGAAAAATTTAATGGTACCACTGATGAATTATCAAGATCACTATCTGTCCCAGGTCACAGCAATAGTACCACCCTGTTAAACACTTTTAAGGCTAATTCTTCTCCCTGATGTACCTTACATACAAAACAAAGTTTAAAATAAATAAAGTCGGAGAGGAAATATCGCATAAATGTTCCACAGTAGCATAACATTTTTATATCACCCAATCAATACAATCTATTTGCACTGTACACTTAAAGAAAACAACAAAAAAAAAAAGCTAGTAGAGAGTGAAGACTTAATTCTCTTATTATCAGCTATATGCATATTTAATAACCTTTGGATCAACACATGACTTGGTCTGGCAGTAAAGTTCTAAGGGAAGGAGGAGAGGAACTTAATTGGTTTTCCCCATGGATCGGCAGGTTTCTACTTTATTGCCCATGTTATTACTTTTTCTCAGTCAGAGCAAATAACAATAGGAGAGGGAATGACTCTGTATCTCTATGACAGAAGATGTCATTAAAAAAAAAAAAAAAAAGAAATTTTGAGTTACCTGTTTTATGGATACTGGGTGAAGATGCAGAGGTAGGAAAATAAGGAACCTGCCCAACTGTCCCATGCAGGGCGGGCAGCACCGGAGCTGAAGGGGCAGGCTGGACCACAGCCTTTTCTGAGAGCAGCGGCCCAGCCTCAGCAGCAGAATGGAAAGGCTGAAAAGGCTGTGAGGTGGCTGGAGGCACCAGTTTGGGGGTTTCAAGAGGCCCTTGTATAAAGTCACTAAATTCTCCATCATCAAGAAAAGTAGAGTGGGAAACAGATACAGTAGAATGGGATGATGTGGGATGATCTGTAAAATGGAATGAACACACAATGCAAAGTGATGAGGAAAAAGGCTCTTTAGGTGGGACAGTGGGGCAAAAATGATAAATATTAAGTACACACAGCAAATGGACGAGGAGAAACAACAGAGGATACATTATTTGACAAAGATGGAACAGTTACCAGTGTTAGCACAACAGAAATACATGAGGTGAAACTGAGCAGCCACTTCCCACCATGCATCTTCGCTACCAGTTTTTTTATGATGTAGAAGTTTGCATCGAAGCTTGATCCATAACATTGGCTATGAAAGTATTCAATTTGTTAAAAAAAAAAAAAGGGACAAAACAAATCAAAAGGGAAAAGAACAGGGATATTCTCCCTCAAAGAATCATTTTACCTTCAGAAATTCAGTAATTCATCATAAGATCCAAACTATGCCTATATTCATTTGGACAGCTTTCAGCTTGATTCCTTTCTCACATGACCCATTTTAACAGAATGGAAGAATGGACATGGCATGTGCAAATCAACAGGCGAGGGAAAGTCAGAAAAACTCCCATGACTCCAGAATTATTTAAGAGCAAACTCTCAGAAGAAATGAAGACTTCTCTGGGAAAAAGCTTGTCTAGACGAGCTTTGTTTCAGGCTAGACACAAAGCAAGTTGTACAACTACAATTTCATCTTTAGCAATAATTATTACAAAGGTAGTTATTACTGAGAAAAGAGAATACAAATGACTTCAGCTTGGCCATGCCCAGGTAATAGTATAAACATAAGCTATTCAAGTACACTGAAGTCATTTTGCAAAGTTTTGATGATACTTAGCATTTATATAGCACTTCTCAACTTCAAAAGCACTCGGCAAACATTAATTAATTCTCTGTCTAGAAAAAAAAGTAAACTCGATTATAACACTTAGGATCAAAGTATATAAAGGAAGTTGCTAATGGTGGGCTTAACATTTGTTATCAGTTTACATGAGACTTCACATTAGGCATATCACATTAAGCTTCCTTTTAAAGGCATCAAGTTTTCTAATAGAAGCTAGAATCTAACATTTCACTGTCACAAGCTGATAAAGGAAACAGCAGCTAGGATGGCGTTTCATGTTACAATAAAGACAAGTCACTACGTAAAGGTACTTCTTGGAATCAAAATTCTCAAGAGGAGGAATCAAACATTAGAGTTTGGAGCTGGAAGATGACAAACCTGGCTTTTTGGGATGTGATGCTGGTGTTGGGTGCATTTTAGCATCTCTAGAAAAACCATCTAAGTTTCCTTTAATGGCTTCCAATGCATCATCTCGACTTTTTTCACCTGTCTGAAACATGACAAAACATTTGAAAAATTGACAGTACAATTCAGTTTTCTTTCAATAGCCACGCTACTTAGCAATAATAATAATAATAATAATAATAATAGTAATAATAGCCTGTTTTTAGATTAAAGCCTTCTTTCTCCAGCAATGATTTTCTAAAGCATATGAACAAGATCTCTGCTATTTATAAGGGAGATTATTTTGCAGACCACACAGTGACAGCAATTCTTGGTCTTCAGTCACACAGCTTGTGTATTAGAACACAGTATAAGCATTACTCAGCTACTCGTACTCTTGCACATGAGAACTTGTAAGCTCACTGGAATGATCCAAAACTTAATAAAGTTAATGAACAAACCACCAAATAATCTATTCTGGAAACTCCCTCTGTTCCCAAGTCTTACACACCAAGTAAGTTTATTTTTGAAAAGCTGATCTCATTTTCAACACCCGTTCGTTTACATTACTCCAAAAGTATGTAAAGGAATGAATTTTCCACATTCTTTCTAAGAACTAATTTGATGCCTCATATAAATTTCCCACTGCTTGTCAAATGAGACAACTCCATTAAAAGCCAAGTTACAACACACACAGAAAAAAGAAAGGAAAAACAAACAAACACACCACTAGTTATTTAGGACATACCTTAGGTTTCACACTGCTCAACAGTCTCAGTTTTTGTTTCTGCTCTTCAAACTGGCGTCGTTTTCGTTCTTCTTCTAAGAATTTCTGCTGGTGCTCAAACCTCTTTCTAAAAGCAAAGCGATGAAAAAAGTAAATAAAGTGGGTTTTTTTTCATTATAATTTTCCTGTCAAGCTTCTTGATTTTTCCACATCTCTTTCTCAAATTCAGATGGCTTGTACCTACCTCCACTTCTCGCAGAACTATAAAACGACATGCACTACTAACTTCACAGACTGCCTTCAAATGCAAAGGAATGATCTTATCACTATTCTGTAGTCCTAATTGTACTTCTTTCTAGAGAAACTCTATGATAATTTTACTATGTTGACTACAACTCCAGACTATGCTTCTCCCATGAAAAAAAAAATGCAAAGAGAAAATTGAGCCTCACTTACTGTTGTTCTTCTGCAAACTGCTTCTGCATGTCGGGGGTATACTGAGGGGCTGCTGGGCGCATTCCTAGGAAAGAAGCCTGTCCCATGTAAGGCATTCCAGTTGCTTGCATCGGTCCTAAAGGCATCCCACCCTGGAAAAAAAAATACAACTCCATGATCTTTTTCACAGAAAACAAGTCAAAATCCTGGAAATTACACCATGTCAGAGTGTAAACTAGCTAGATTTCATAAAATTCAGAGCATTAGGTGTAACTGGATGAGAAGCCTGGATGCCTGTTAGAGGAAAAATAGCATCGATCATTCAGTAGATGGCACTCTTCCCTCTCCATACAGAATCACAGTTCTAAAGGTATCTAAAAGCAGGCTGAATTACTAGCTACTTAGCAGTTCAATAATACTACTAACCATACTTAGGAGTAGGTGGCATCTAATAGCTTTTCAAGATGTTGCAACAGTTTTGTTTCTGTTGCTGTTGAGGGACCACCCTTCTACTACCAGATTTTGATGTAATACCACATTATTACACACAGGAAATGAAAGGTCAGGTGCTATTATCTTTAACTGGACTATAACATCCAAGTTGCCTTAGATGTTGCTGATATCGTCCTTGTACTTCACCCTCATCTCTCTCTGTTCCACTGCCGTGAGTAATATATGCCAAACTCCCACACCCTCTCTATTCAGTTCCCAAAGAAGTCTAGAGAATTCTTTAAATATTAGAAATGTATTCAAAGAGAATACTATAAACCACGACACCCTGCCTTCAGCTTATACCCACTTCAGTTTCAAGGCAGGTTTTCCTGTTATTGCACTGCAGTTCTGGCTGAACAAAACCAAGGTGCCCTTTCAACCCGCACACCCAGTCACCCACCTGCATGGCCATGGGTCCTGGCGGCATCTGGGAACCGTAATTCATGCCCATCATGCCTGGCATATTGGACTGCATGACAGAAACCATTGGGAACCCTTGCTGTTGCATAGGAATCATCCCTGAAACAAGATATTAAACCAAGCTGAAAGCTTGTTTTTTGTTTTCCTGTTAAAGCATAACAAGATTTAAATAGCCACGGTGTCAGGCATTGATAATTCCCCATTTCTCTTGAAAGAGGAACTTATAAACCAGTAGCCTTTGAAGACACATCAATAAGAGAGAAACTCGTATCATTTTCACAATGAAATTGCCACATTTTAAGCTGGCTGGATAGATCAGTTAAAACGCTATATATTTTTTCTGTATTAGAATGGTTAAAAGCTTTTCAGTAAAAGCTAACCTTCAACAGAGTACATCAAATCAGGCTGGAATGTATTAATTCACTGAATAAAGCCAAATGGATTATGCTGCTCATATCTCACATTTTGCTGTCTTGAAACACACATACTAGCAGAAAATACAGTTGTGGTACCTGCACTCTGAGGCAATCATAACTGTGCATAACTTAACATCACAAGTAAAAGCACTCCCAGAAGTACACGACATGCTCCTAAGTGATCCTTAAACCAGTCCCTGAAAAATGCTGTTGTTAAGAAAATTCTCCCCCACACACAAGTTCCCGCTGCATTTTTCATTAATTAAACAAACATCACTGGGATAGGAATGAGAACAAAGGTAATTTAAGGCTGAGACTCTCCTATTGTATTAATACTTTCCACATAGGTTGCACCTCTTGTCCTAGGGTCTTGCTGTGCTTTGTAAATATTTACCAGGTCTTGCAACACCCACACAATATGGGCATGCACAGTTGGTAGATGAAGCATAAAGAGGTTAAATACCACATTCAAAATGATACAAAAATCTTAAAGGCAAATTTGAGTTCCCAACTGAACTCTAGCTCCTAGATCTTTAATCTAGTATTCTGGTAATAGTGCTTCATCATGATATAGATATTTTTGCAAATAATGTTGCAAGCCTCAGCTTATTGATACTGAATCGAAGCAGAAAAACAGCTGAGGAGGTCACTTAATAGTCACATTTCTAAGCATCAGCATAGAACACAAATAACTTTAATGTATCCAAACAAAGGAAGTATCTCAGTGCTCAGAAGCTGAAATTCACACTTACCTTGAGGAGGGCCTAAACCGCCTGCTACAGGAAACATGAAGCTGGGGACAGAAGAAAAGGTACATGAGTCTGCAATTCGAATGCAACTTCTCTACGTACCCTGACTTGCACGTCAGCACCCCCACCAAGCCATCCCACCTTGTGCTCGGCACACTCCTCTGCTGCTGCAGGTCTCACACAACAGAGCATCCCTACCTATGGGAAAAGGCATCCCCACGCCACGGGAAAAGGCATCCTTCCCAGGGATCCTTATTGCACACCCTCCGAAGGAGAGCTGCACCAGCACTACTGTCACAGGCAGTAAAACGAAGGAGAAACCTGCTCCAATACTGCCAAATGGTCTGGGCTCCCCTGCATTACCCATCTAGGAGTTTTCAGCACCTTTATAAACGTGGGCTAGGCCTCCAGGAGCTGCAGAATGAATAAGCATCTGCGGGAGGAATCTGATTCAGCAGGATCGCTAACTGCACCCGCAAGTAGTTCTCAGCTGCTTGGTAACAGTTTTTCTGCAGGCAAATAAACTATCCAACCAACTATCAAGGAGCATCACAAAGTAATGGCTTTTATGTTTTGACAATTACATCTAATTAATGAATTGATTACATCTAATGAAAAAAGATAGTGGAAAATGGGGAAAAAAAATCATGCAAGTGTCAAAGGCTAGGCACACCTGATGGAAGAACTATTAAAAATTCAACTGAAACTCCAATGGCAATTACCAGCCCTCACTTTGAAATGGAAGTATTGCTGAGCTGCCAAACAGGAAAAAAGACCTAGTTTTGAGGTCTCATTTGCAAGCAACGCTTAAAAACGCACGTCAGCAGCCATCTACCAGCCAGAACTTCATTCAATGGCCCAGCCAGCTACTACATCAAAATACTATGCAAAGAAACATATTTATAGATATTCAATATCCCTCAGTGCAAGGGTGGATATAAAAAAAAGTGCCAAAAAAGCAAAGGAGAAAATGTTACCATAACTGACCACAGAGAGTTTCTAAAAACCTTCTGTAAAATCAGAGACATCCCCCTCTATAAATATGAAAGAGTGGTGTAATAAAGGTACCAAGATAGAATATGGAATTCAGCTTGAGAATAAACTCGTAATTTAATTGTTACTGCCTCCAATACAAACAGCAGGTTGCACGGTCACCACAACAACCTACATTATTATTCTTTTCAGCCCCTTAATATGGAACTTTTTTAATACCTTCTGCTTTGCCTTGTGCTCTGGATAACCATCAGGATACGCCACAATTTCTCTCTCCCTATTTCAGACAGACTTCTGTGATCCAGCAGGCTTGTTCTTACCATTCTTAACCACCACAATTTTAGTTTCTGTATTGGAAACACTATCCAGCCTCAGAGCAAGTGCTGGCAGTCTCTGGATGGGATTCAGTTCAAACAGTCTGAACTGTGACCTGAATATGTTCAACAAATGGGGGTCCAATTTGGTCATTTTGACCCACTTACTAGCACCCAAGTATTAATATCATGAAGACAAGCAGCTGACTTTAAAGATCCTAGATGGGGCCAGCAAGGTGGAGTCCAGCCACTTCACTGGATTGGATTTCACCTATGGAAACTGTCCTGTCACCCACCAGCAAACAGTGCCACCGCCACCACAATAAGGCAGCCTCTTAAACAGGGGTAATTTCAGATGCAGAGAGGTTTTAAGTCAGACCCAAGTGCAACAATTTTAGGCATCAAATAAACCCACACCATTATTTGTTTCTTCTAAACATTAACAGTTAAATTTTTAACAGCTCGCAGGTATCTCCAGGTATCCTCAGCTGCGTGTTTTCCCTTCTCCATGGGGAATCCGGCCACAGAAACAAGAATCCTTCCAAACCAGCAAACGTCATGTCACCTAAACAAGCACTGCAAGGTACCATTGCTTGTTGCAAGCAAATAAAGGCCAGGCTATTAAATATTTATCCCTTTCTACAGAAATCTTGATTTATTTATAAGTCTCTGATGAAAGAAAAGGAAAAAAAAAGGCAACAAGAGAAAGCTGCAGCTAATTAGAGGAGCCTGAAAGAAGAGCTCGTTAAACAAAGGCGGCAAAAGCGCTTCCTTACGAGGGCACCCTGCACGCAGGGCTGGGATCCATCACAGACCTCGCGCCAAGATGTAGCTACGTGTTTGCCTACATGGGCCACAAACACTCACAAACCCCCCATGAATTGCTTTATTCAAACAGCGAACATTATTTTTGGGTGCTTTACAGGAATAAAGAGCTAAAATTCATCATTAACATCAAGTTAAAGCAATTGATGCAACACTTGAATTGAATTGAAGCAACACTGACAAGATAACTACGGAATAAATGGACACCTTAAAAAAAGATGAAACTTTTTCTTTCTTGTCTGCATTCCTATTTCACTGCAAAAGTGCCAAGCTACACATACCATTCTCCCATTGACAACTGCAAACTGTCTCCTCATTCCTAATGAAAACAATTTTATCAACACAACAGAGACTAGATTTTTCAATGGCAAATTTTTACGCAGAAACCCGCAATAATGAAAGTGAAACAAAGCCAAAGAAAACAGAGAAAGTTTTTCCTCTACTTCCAATCTCTGACTAAAAGAAAAGAAGCAATAATGAGAAACAAGGGTTAAATATCCTCTCGTTCTCCAAAATCTGGAGTTTTTTGACTGCTTTTGTGGCCCCTCTCAAGCCCACGGCACGCTCAAGCAGGGCGCAGAGCTGTGCAGGAGGGCGGGTTGGTTGTGCAGCCCTTGCCAGGACTTTCCCACGCGGATAAACACGGCTCCGAGTCCCCGCGCGCCGGCCGAGCCTGGAGAGGAGCCGGCACAGACAGAGCTGCGCGGTCCGGGGCTCCGGGAAGGCCGGGGATTGAAAGGCCCTTTGTCAAAGCGCGCTCCACCTAACCGTGTCCCTCTGCGGAAGCAGGGCAATAGACATATCAAACATAAAGAGTCTAGGTTAAGCATGTATGTATAGCATACATATACACAAATATATATACGATACACGTGTATTCAGATGCTCCGTGTCCAAGGCGGCGGCACACAAAGCTTCTCCTCCGTTCACACACAGGTGCCCGCGGAACGTGCCTCCTTCCCCAACGCCTGGTCCCCCTTGGGGCGCCGGTTCCCGAGGGGGCGGCTGCGGGGCTGGGTCACAGCCGCCCGGGGCGAACGGGGGACACCCCTAAACCTTCCCACCCGGGGGGTGTCAGCGGGCAGCCAAAAGGGGCTGATGGCCGCGAGCGCCAAAGGGCCCGAGGCGGCCTGCGGGGCGCCCACCGCCGGTGCCCCTCACCGAGGCCGCCATTTCCCCCACTCCCCTCCCGCGGCCCACGCGTGTCCGCCCCCCACGCGTGTCGCCCCACGCGGCCTCCCCGGCCCGGCCCGGCCGCCAGCACCGACC